ATCGTTCAAAAGTTTTCTCGCTCTATTAATATTTATTATCGGACATTATTTAATAAAATAATATTTTTATTAGAAATGATTAATTCATTTTAAATAATATAAATTATGTGATAACGATTGTGTAGAACGTTTTCCTCTTCTTTTTTTTTTTTCTTACCTTTATTCTTTTTTTTTTCTCTTTTTTTGTATTTTCTTTTTTTTCTTTTCTTTCTTTCTTAGAGAATATCGATAAATATTGATAAATTTCATTAATAGTCTTTCGTCATCTTAACAAATAAGAACAGTTCCTAAGGAAAAAATATTAGCTCGTTTAATCTGTACATACAGACAAATAAACACACAGACACACACACACACAGAAAGAGAGAGAGAGAGAGAGAGAGAGAGAGAATTAATGGTAAAACAATAATTCATTTTTATGCAATTAAAAAGAAAAAAAAAAAATAATCCTCAACACACTACGTTCTTCGTTGCTAATAAATTTCACTTTCTTTTTTTTTTATTTTCTTTTTTATATGACTCTATCCAGGAAAGAAAAAAAAAAAAGAAAGAAACAAGAATATTTCATATAGGAATGTTAAATGGTTTAAATCTATTAACGCATCGCACGGTTACTTAAAAACCATAGAAAATACATAAAATATGGAAAAGAAAATAGAGATAATTCAAGAACTTAATACGACCATTACACAGGTCGAATAGTTTCTTAGAATCGATGTGGACACTACTAATAAATTTTTCTTAAATTTCCTATACGAATTCTTTCTTTCTCTCTCTCTCTCTCTCTCTCTCTCTCTCTCTCTCTCTCTCTCTTTCTCTCTTTTTCTTCTTTTTTTTTTTTTTTATTCGACATAGAAAATACAGTGCGAAGTACCGGCTTGACGCAATTTTACGACAGCAATTGTGTATCGAGCATAATTAATCTTTGAACACGTACCGTTTCATACTCTTTTACAATTTATGAATTATTCATTCTTTACATTCAACTTGGTTCAAGTTAATTTATATTCTTCTTTTATGTTTTACTTCTCTTTTTTTTTCTCTCTCTCGTTTGTTTCTCTTTGTTCGTACTTTTTCTTTTTCTTCTTCTTCTTCTTCTTCTTCTTCTTCTTCTTCTTCTTCTTCTTTTTCTTCTTCTTTTTCGTCTTTCACGTTCAATTTTTTTCGTCACTATCCATTGAAAAAGTTCATACGCGACAAAAATCCTAAATCAAAATATGAATACTGTCAAAGTTCATCAGCTAAAAAGGTAACGTCGAACGGTTATTAGATCGATATATGAAAGGTGGAGATTGGTGGAGTGGAGGGTTGGGGGGGGGAGGTGGGAAAGAAAGAAAGAAAAAGAAAAATCATCAATTCGTAATAGGAAATTAAATAATCATGATTTATTTTTCTTTTAATTAATAATTGACCTGGCGTCAATCAAAGATGAAAATTATAACGTAAAGAAAATGCGCCGAAACATAATATCTTTATCATTTACGTAATTACGATCCTATTTAAATCGTGAATCAATCGAAAGTATTTTAAATAAGTTATTACGAGAGAGAGAGAGAGAGAGAGAGGAAAAAGGTATTAATAAGATATAATAGAAAGAGATAAAATATTTTATTTAACGTGATAGACACGTTGCAAAAAGAATATTAATCGTGTGACATCATTATTTCATATTTCATCTTATTTAATATTACGTATATACATAATTTATTTTGGTATTTTTATTTTTTTTTATTTTTTTATTTTTTTCATATTATATAACTAGATATAAATTTAATATTATGTTATAAGACTCACGTAATATCTTTATTGGTTATGTCACGTTAATTATTTTCATTTTGCATTAATTAAATGCGAAATTGCAATTTCTTTTCCTTTCCTTTTCTTTTCTTCTTCCCGTCTTAATATTATTTCCTCCTACGAAATTTTCTTTTCTTCCTTTTTTTTCTTTTTCTTTTCTTTTCTTTTTTTTTTTTTTTTTTTTTTTTTTTTTTTTTTTTTTTTTTTTTTTTTTTTTCAATAAACGATAAAAAAGATATCTAAAGTATTCAAAGAAATTGTCCGATTGTTCTTTCTCGATTAATTTATAATCACACATTATAAATCACACATTATAATCATACATTATAAATGTTATATAGGATGATATTAACTTACCATCAATTTTTCTTTTTCTTTGTTTTTTTCTCAATTTCTTAATTTTTTTTCGTCTTCTTCTTCTTCTTCTTTTTCTTTCCTTTTTTTTTAACATTTCGAAAAAACCAAGTTCTTTCTCAAGAATAAAGCATATGACTAGATTAAAAACAAACATTGTACATATACATATATATTATATATATACATATATATATATATATATATATAGAGTTTATTTTTTCATTGTCAGACCTTCGGAAAGAATATTATATCAATATGAAAGAAAAGAAGTTGAATATTATCATCGATTTTATTGCTTCATTTAAAAAATACATTGTAATAAATAGTAAATAATAAATAATAAATAATAATAATAATAATAATAATAATAATAATGATGATAATTGAAAAATAATTTAATAATTGAATTAAAAAAAAAATAATTAAAAGCAAAAAAAGAGAAAAGAACGAACTCGATGTTTCTTCCAGAAATTTTTTTAATAATTAAATCAATCTGACGATTGAAAAAAAAAAAAAAAGAAAAAAAAATAAAATAAAATAAAACGAAAATAAAAACAAAAGAAAAAATTGTTTAAGATCGAACGAATATGGGAAATATTTTAATAAAACGATCGAAACATAAATTTGCCAAATACATCGATAGGAAAGATCTCCTACTCGATGTTTAAAAATATTGAAAGAAACAAAAGTAAAATAAGTTGGAGCGTATCTTTCGAAGATTAAATTCGATGAAGGAATAATTTGTTGTTTTAGACAGAGAAGATGATCGGATATCTTTCGTTTAAAAGGTAATTGCTTTTCTCGAGTCAAAGTAAATATAGGTACGAGTTCTTAGCCGCTTATTATATAGAAATTATTATTTCTAACTTAAACAATATGATCATCAAAAAATTTCCATAAACATAAACGATAAGGAAGTCTTTTAACCAATATATATATATATCTATATATATTTTTTTTTTTTTTTTTATGAAAATAATTATACAAAATATCATAAAAAACAAAAAGGTGTATATATTTCATGTACACATGTTACATGTATTATATGTGTATATATATATATATATATTTCTTTTTCTTAATTTTTTTCTTTTTTTTTTAATCATCTCTTTATTTTCTAAGCATTCTTTAATATTTAACAATCATTGGTCATCGATCATCATATTAAATTATCAAATTAACATATTAAATTGATAAAATTTTTTTTTATTTAATTATTTATTCGATTATTTGTAGAATTTATAATATAATAAATAACAATATTATATATCGGATAAGTAACAAAAATATATGTATTATGTAATTATTGATTTATTATTTAATCCATTTAGATTTAATTTGCTGTATATAATTTGTTAACATTTATTTCTACATTTAAACAAAACGAATCTAATTATATTAGCATTTATTGAAATCGTTGTTGATTATTGATTATGCAATCAATTCGAATACATTAAAAATAATACTTTAATCGACCCCAACACTTATATAATAGTTCAAGCAAATTTATTATAATTTATTAATATGATTTTTTTTAATCGAAATATATTTTCTACGATATTTGAAGAAATAAAAATTATAGCTTTGTCAATACAATAAAAGAAAAAGAAAAAAAAAAAAAAAAAAAAGAAAATAAAAGAAGAGAAAGAAAAAAGGAATAAGAAAAAAAAAAATGATGTCGAATGATGTCAAATGAGACTTTTGAGAGATCCTTGAAAAAGAAAAAGACAAAAAATGTATCATAATCATTTTAAATCAATATCTTACAAAGTACGTGCAAATCAAATTATTTTTTCGAATTTATTACATGTTTATTATAAATAACAAATTATTTCTTCATCGAATTTAATTTTTTAAAAAATATATTCCAAAGATACCATAATACTCTAGGAATCATATTATCACATATAAAAATGTCTGATCTAACGCATTTAACAACAAAAATAATTTACTCACGTTTTCCTGGTTAATCCTATATAATAAATATTTCTTTCTTTTTCTCTCTCTCTCTCTCTCTCTCTTTCTATCTCTATCTTTCTCGAAACTTTCGCTATACTATTTCCATATAAAAAATAACTTCCGGAAGTCGTGTCTCACTATATAAAGTTTCTCGATCGGTGATCGAGGTCGTTGACGACAAAAGTACATTTCCATAAATTCCGTAAAAAAGTCAACTTCGATTAAACGTCCGTATTGAATAAATATTTTCCTTATATCAAGTTTTTTTCATTCAACAAATAATACATAACGTTTACATTATAGATCATCCATATTGTTGACTTTCTTTTTCTCTTTCTTCCTTTCTTCTTACTTTTTTCTTTTTTTCTTTCTTTCTATTTCTTTATTTGTATTTTTCATTTAATTATTTTTTAATGCTCGAAAATAGAACGACAACATTACATGACGACATTAATGATGTGAAACTATTCGTAGAAATGCATGCATAAAAAAAAAATAGGATAACGAAAAATACAAAGATTGAACGATTATATAGAATAATCGCATTCCTGTGGCATCGTATTATCGCATGATAATAAAGATTGATAATATTAGTAGTAGTAATAATAGTAGTTTAATAGTAGTAGTAGTAGTAGTAGTAGTAGTAGTAGAGTAGTAGAAGTAATAGTGGTAGTAGTAGAGTAGTAGAAGTAGTAGTAGTAGTAGTAGTAGTGGTGGTGGCGATGGTGATGGTGGTGATAGTTATAGTGATGGAGGTGGTAGCGATGGTGATAGTGGTGATGGTAATAATGAAAGGTAGTGGGGAAAGTTAAGAAAATACTCCTCAACACACAGTTGAAGACTTCGTTCCTTTTCAATTGCCTTCTGCGATGAGTTTTCATCGAGTGTACTTAGTTCTCTCACGTTAGTTCATCGTGTTTTATCAATTTCGAACATAATCTCATTTTCTTTATTGTCCTTACTATTATTGTTCATTTTTTCTTTTCTTTTCTTTTCTTTTCTTTTCTTTTTCTTTTCTTTCTCTCTCTCTCTCTCTCTTTCTCTTTCTCTATTTCTTTGTGTCTATCTCGTCAAATTTTCTCCTACATTATATATTTTTAATATATCTCTCATATATTTTCTTCTAAGGATAAAACAAGACGTATTTATCGTTATCGAAAATAATTACAAATTTCTTATTATTTCCTTCGAAAAAAAAAAAAAAAAAAGAAAAAAAATAATCACGTTCGTTAACTTCCCTTGCTTTTTTTGTTCTTTTTTCGTCTTTTCTGCCCCCCCTTTCTTCTTCTTTTTTTTTTTTTTTTTTTTTTTTTTTTAAATCAAAAAAACTTAAAAAGAGGAAATAGTCCTCGCAAATCGTCTGAGGACAAATTTTTCATTCCATTTTATTTTTTATCCTTTTTACCTTTCTCGATGATCAAATTTTTTTCGACGGCCAAAATCGAGAGTAGCGTGAAATAAAGAAAATCCATATAGAAATATAACACGGAGAAGAGAAAAATAATAAAGATTAAAACAAAGACAAAGAACAAGTGGAAGAAAAAAGAAAAAGTAGTAAAAGTAATATTGGAAGAAATAAGTGTACTTTTGTAAATTTCGAATGTTCTTATCTTTGAACGAGCATTATCTTATTTGATATATATATATATATAGAATAGTAAAAGAAAGGAAAAAAGCAAGAAATTAAAGAAAAAATAAAAGAAAATAGAAGAAAAAGTGGAAGAGGAGAAAGAAGGAAGAGAAGGAAGTATATAAAACAATTATCAAAGGAATAGAATCAAGATGACATGTTCAAGATTACTCTTGTTCATTTTTCTCGGTGAATCCTTTCTCTTATTTCATTATACCTTAGCCACGGACATAAAAACGATAATGGAACGTACGTTGCCGGTCTATGCTATGCTCTCAAATGCACATTTTCTTAATTCAACGACGTGTGCCAAGGAGTTGATAAATTTACGAGATGCTATCGATCGGCGAACATTATGGAGCTTAAAAGGTAGGTAATATTTACGATAAATATCCAATAAAATTCCATCATTGACCTTTTGTTTCGATATTTTATTATTTCTCTGTCTCTCTCTCTCTCTCTCTCTCTCTCTCTTTCTCTTTCTCTCTTTATTTTATTTATTTCTTTTCGTTTTCGTTCATTTTTTTTTCTTTTTCTTTTTTTTTTTTTATGAAAAACACCTTACCGGATGATCTTTCAAATTTCTTTAAAATTACTTGTTTCTTTTTTTTTTTTCTTATAAGTGCATACTCTTTAAAGGATTATTTACACATTGAAAAAAAAAAAGAAAAAAAAAAGAAAAAAGGAAAATGAAAAAATGAAATAACGCCTACAAATATGTCAGTCGTATTAAAAGAGAAATGTTGGCATTTCGATTTTGCGATCAATGAAAGAAAAAAAAAAAAGGAAGAAAAGAAAAAAGAGAAGGAAAGAAAAAGGACGAAAGTAAATGGAACAAATAAATAAATAAATTAAGATATAAATAACTTAAGAGAAAAGGAAAAAATGAAAAAGAGATTCGAGGAACGTTCAAACGACATCGAATGATAAAATGAACAAGTTAGAGTTCATTCTGCAAGTTTCCTTAGTGAAACTATTACATTCCGATTACGATATACATGAACCCGGTTCGTTCATTTTACGAAATCACTTTTAAATTTATGTCGTTACATTTCTATGGTCTCTAAATATCGTCAACGAGAAAGAGAGAAAGAGAGAGAGAGAGAGAGAGAGAGGGATCAATGATTGAGAGAATTTTTTTTCTTTTTTCTTTTCCTTTTCCTGTTACTTTTCCTTTTGCTTTCCTTTTCCTTTTCCTTCTTTTTTCTTCATTCTTTCTATGCAGTTGTTTCCTTTGCGAGATTAAAACTAAAAAAAAAAAAAAAAAAACAAAAAAATACAAAGAAAAAGAAGAAAAAGACGAAAAAAAAATAAGGAAAGAGAGAAAGAGAAAGAAAGAGAGAGAGAGAGAGAGAAAAAAGAAAAAAAAAAAAGAATTTACACTGAAAAGAACGGAGACACCACAAATTGGCTCTTAGACGTATTTGATAACAAGTTGTCTCGAAGGATTCCAACGAAAGTCATATTGTTACACACACTGTCGGTCGTACTTGTATACACATGTGAATACACGAGTTAAGCTACAGGTCGGGAAGTCTTGTCAAACAACTCTCACCAAATGATTCCTTAAACTCATAGTTGAGAATATAAGTATCGGCTTGCTACATCTATTTACATCTGAAAAATTTTTTTTTTGGCCTTCGTTTTATTCATAGATTCATCCTCAATTTACTTATTAATTTTTATATAATATATATAATGTATATTTAATATTAATATCTATAATATATATAATATTATTAATATTATATATATATATATATATATATATATAAAGATAATCAGATAATAAAATGCATTTTCATTAATAATTAATAAATATTTTCAAAAAGAATTAACATTGCCATAACTAATATTAATATTATATCATCGTTATATTTTTCAACATTGATTATATTTACTCATTAAAATAATGACTTATTAATAATTATTAACAGAATCATTTTGGATGAATATATATATATATATATATATATATATATATATATATGCAAATGGTACATTAAATTTTGTCTGTTTTTTTCGAATTTTTTTTCGATGCTTCGAAAGGATCGTAAAATATTTTAAAATATTGGGAAATTAGTGTTTCTTAATCTTTCCTTTTTATTTAATTCCTGCACCATTTAATTTGTTATTAATTAAAACAGCATGATCTTTTCGTTCATCAGTAATATAAATCAATAAGAATTTTTACCCTTTTTTTTGTTATTAAATCGATAAATTATTAGAAAATTTTCCAATCTAATTAGAATTAATCTTAAACATTTAATGACGATAATTTATATTCATTTTTTATAATATTCAAGGTGAACGTCTTTCCGAGATGAATATGTTTTCGAGATAAACAAGTTTCTGAGAATATCGTACAACTTACTTTTATGATTACACAAATCAAAAGTTTTTAACATTCTAAAATACTGTAATCGATAAATTAGATAATCTACATTTCATATATATATATATATATATATTTTTTTTTTTTTTTAGCGTTGCTTAATATCTAATATTTTGAATTACTTAAAAGAACATTTTTCCGTGATAATTCTAATTTATATTTTATTTTAATTTACATAAATCTAGCTATACATCTTCAAATGTTACATTCTTAAACGATGATCGTAAATAAAATATTTTTTATTATATAATTTAATTATTAATTAGAATCCTTGAAAAAAGAAAAAAAAAAAAAAAAGAATTTATATATCATAAACGATTATTTTAAAAAAGTAAAAAAATTAAAGGATTTTAACACCTTACATTAGACAATCACTTTATACTTCGTCGATAAGTACGGTTGCTCACTTTTAGGGGCATATATATTATATATAAATAATATAGAAAGTATATAAATCTAATGGGATCATGGAATTAATTCATTAAATTTGTTTCTTTTTTTTTTGTTTTATTTTTTGATCAAGTAATCGATTCAAGTGGAGAACCAATGTCCGGATTTTTCTATGGAAATAATTATTGGCTTGGTAAACAAAGTCAATGCGAAGATACGAACAATAGAATTCCGTTAACAATTAAAGAAAATGAACTAATAAATAATTCGAGATATCGTCACGTCGAAGATGAATTTCCACCGTACAAAATCAAATATTTCGTCGCATATTTCAGGCACAATAGCACTTTGCAATATCACATTAGAGTACATAACGAAGTGAGTATCTATTAAATAAATGAACACGATCTTAGTAATACTGATTAACATAAATGTTTTTATTATTTTCACTTCTTGTTTTTTTTTTTATCTTGTTTCTTTTTTTATAGGATTTGGTAACACTAGGAATGTGTTTACCGGCTACCTGTTCAAATGATCAATTATACATTCTTCTTGAAAAAGTTGTAAGAAATAGAATTCTTATTATAAGTGACCTATATTCGATTGATCTTAAACTGCTCGAAGTAAAAAATCTAATTAACGATTATCAATGGTTCTCGAGTAAAACATTCATATCAGTCATGTATGTCAAAGAGCATAAAAGATTTACGTGCGTTACGTTAACCGAGTATAACAAATTGATTTGTCTATTTCTCCTTTAGGTGTATATCAATACTTACGTGGTTGTTAATGCTAATAGGAACGACCTATGACATTGTGATATATCAAAAACGTTTAAAAAGGCACGCTAAGCTTCTTCAAATTTATGAAAATACTCTTTCTTCTCAAGACAAAACAATCGGTATGATCATTCAATAATATAGATCATAAAATGAACGTGTATATATATATATATATATATATATATATATATTTATATGTATATATAATATTTGATAAAATTATTTAGATAATAAACAATCAAACATGGATCCTGAGGATAAGCCGATAACATTAAAATTTCAAAATTCTATTAGTAAAGTATTTCTGGCTTTTTCCATTTACTCGAACACGAAGAAAATATTTAATACAAAACTGAATGATAATTCTATACTGATTATAAACGGTTTGAAATTTCTAACGATGTTATGGATCATTATAGGACACACGATATATTACATCAATGATTATATCGGTAAATTAATAACACATTATAATCAAAACTTTATATAATATATAATAATAATTAATTTCTTAAAATTTCATTTGATTTACTTTAATTATAGACAATAAAGTAATAGCCTTTAGAAAATCAGAATCTTTGGTTGTTCAAGTGATGACTAATGCGTCATTATCGGTAGATACATTTCTTTTTCTCAGTGGTTTTCTCATAACTTATTCGTATTTAAATAAAGAACAAGAAAGGAATAAACATCGGCCATTGAAGTATATGATTAAATATTACTTCATGAATATCCTAAAAAGATTTATCAGGTAGGTAGGTTACATGTTAACGAATATAATTAGAAATATATAATTACTTATAAAAATTTTGTTTTCTAATTTAGATTTACACCGTCTTATATGATTACAATGGGAATATTTGAAATAACTTCATTGTGGTACAGTTATACCTCGCAGTTTTATATGACAGAACGTTCATACGATGTCTGTCCAAAATATTGGTGGAGGAATATACTTTATATTCAAAATTTGTTTGATAGAAACAACATGGTAAGAATATTTCCTTTTATAAATAATATAAATATTATCGTTTTTCAAATAATGTTTAATTGTATTAAAATTATTTTAACGATAATATGATATTTACAGTGCATGTCTTGGAGTTGGTATTTGGCAAATGATATGCAATTTTTTATGATAACTACATTCCTGTTAATATTATCATCCAGGTAAATCAATTATTTTAATTCCATATATTCCAATTGAAATTTTTTTTCCAATCGTAAACGTTTGATAATTAAAAACATTCAATTATGGCAGGTACTTCAACGTGGCCGCCTGTTTACTAAGTCTATTGTTTATCGCATCGATAATCATAACCGGCTACATATCACATATTCACAATTACGTTCCTACGTAAGTAATTGAAAAATTAAATACGTTAGATTAATATACACATATTATAGTCATCATTGATGTTTGAGATTGATTTTATAGATTGGATGAACAGTACCGTAATTTAAATGTACTGTACGATCCACCGTGGGTTAGGATAGGACCTCATATAGTGGGTATAATCACCGGTTATATCGTTATCAAATTGAACAAAGAATTACGATGGAAAAGGGTAAAGAAAAAATACAAATAAAAATAAAAAAAAAAAAAAAAAAAGAAAAAAAAAATAACAAAAAAAATCTTATTTATAATAATTTTATATTAAAATAATTGAGAATTAAAAGTTGACTTGATAATTTCATAATGATTAAAATGATCTTTAGAGAACTATCATATTATTCTGGATACTTAGTAGTACCTGCAATATATTAGTACTTTTTGGATTATGGGAAAAAAGAATATCGGTTATAAGTGCTGCCATTTATGTTGCCTTTGCTAGAACAGCTTGGGCAATTGGCTTGGCATGGCTTGTAATTGCCTGTGTCACGAATCACGGAGGTATGTAAATATCAATGAACAAAATCAAATTGCATTAGGTCGACGTTGATTCCCTTTTTTTCTTTTTTTCTTCCTTTCTTTCTTTCTAAATAATTCTTATCTAATTGAGAAATTTTTATTTTAGGTATTATCACCAAGATTCTTTCGTTAAAAAGTTGGATACCATTCAGTAAATTATCTTACTGTGTCTATCTATTAAATCCTATTGTTACCAATTCCATTTACTTAAACAGCGAAAATGTTAATCACATTGATTTAATACCGAACGTAAGTTTATCCAATCAATTAAAATTTCTCTTTTTATTATTAATTATATTTCAGATAATAATGTTAATTAATTTTTTCTTTTTTTCCTTTTCTTTTCTTTTTTCTTTTTTTTTTTTTTTCTTTTTTTTTTTTTCGTTCATATCCTCTTTCAGATAATATTAATGTTTGGAAACTTTGTGAGCACTTACATATGCGCTTACATATTTTCGATAATGTTCGAAATGCCATTCATCCTGTTGTTAAAACAAGTTTTTAATTTTGACGCCAATACGAAAAAATGATCAATCTTTGATCTCCTTCCATGGATATATTTACATTCATTAATTGAATTTCACAATGTTTTTTTTTGATGTTCTTTTGTAATTTATTGGAAAAAAAAATGTGTTTGGTTTTCTTTTCTCTCTCTCTCTCTCTCTCTCCCCCCTTCTCTCTCTCTCCCTCTCTCTCATTTTTGTTTTCCATTCTTTATGCGATTTAATGCATTCCTTTTTTACATTACACACTGATAATCGCGCAATTAATACGAATTATAATCGATCGAATGATCTAACTCCACATATATGTATATCTCGGTTTTTTCTTTTTTTTTTTTTTTTTCTTTTTTTTTTTCTTTTCTTTTTTTCGTTTTTCTTTTCGATGATTTATAAACTTCTTTTATTTCGTGTCTAACATTTTGTACACAACGAAGCGAGTTCAATAAAAATATCTTGTACACTGACTTAAAAGAGATAGATAAGCGTAGGGCACATTTATAATCATAATAATAATAATAATAATAATAATAATAATAATTAAAAAAAAAAAAAAAAAAAAAAAAGAAGTAAGAAAGAAAGAAACTACAGATCATTAAACGATAATACATCCTCGCCGTGCTATGAGTGAACCGGGGAATGTATCCTAGGAGGTGCAGGCGAGGTATGAGATCGATTAGCTCGAGAAGCTTGTTCACGACGACCTTCCTCAAGTTGTTTTTCAAGCTGCTCTTTCAAGACTAGAAGTTCTCTCGTTCGTTGATAAACAGGATCCTGAAATGGACAAACAAATGCTTTCTTTTTTATTTTATTTTATTTTATTTCTTTTTTTTTTTCTTTTTTTTTTTTTTTTTTTTTTCTTTTTTTCTTTCCATTAACCAAAGCCGATTTAATACGATTAAAAAGAAAATTACAAACCTGTTGTCTCATAATCGGATTCCATCTACAATAGAGACCCTTCCAAGGTTTGATATACCTCATACTTGCTATTGGCATTAGAACGAGTTGATAATTCGGTCCAGCCAAGTAAAGAGGATTTTGATAAAGGGATAATTGACTATTGGTGTAGGACCATAACGATACGGTTCTTTGTTTGACCTGTTCTTGTACTCTCTCGCGTTCGCTTAAAAAAAAAAAAAAAAAAGAAGAAGAAGAAGAAAGACATAATAAAGGAGAAAAATAAAAGAGAAGGAAGAAATGATAATCGATAACGATTAGAAAAGAAAAAAAAAAAAGGAAGTTAAGATGTAAGCTGTTATACGAGAAAATTTCTAGTTTTATCAGATAAAGATTAATTTATCAGATTATTATATACTTACATACATACATACATACATATATATATATATATATACCTGCTGAATAAAAACGTGCCAAATCTGCAAGAGTAAAGATGGTCGAGGATGGTAATTAAAAAATGCTCATTAAATTCAAATGCATTAACAAATTGTCGCGTTATTTGCCAAACGCAATCCATAAATTGTAAAAATACTGGAGAACGATCAGCGTCACTATGGTGTTCATCGCCATGACCAATCCTCTGAAGAAATGAGATCATAAGATTATGAAAAATAATTATTATTTAAATGTATACATATTTTTAAATAAATGTAAAATAAATTACTTAAGTATATATATATATATATTTTTTTTATATACATGATTATATATATATATATTTTTTTTATATACATGATTATATATATATATATATATATATATATATATGTTTTTTTCTTTTTTCTTTTTTCTTTTTTTTTTTTGCATATGAACTACCTGTTGAAATTTATGACCGAAACTAAGCCATTCCTTTTCTATGAGAACTTCAAATCCTTTAATGGTCCTGTAATATGGATCCAACATTAACATGGCAAGAGCTGTTAGCTATAAAAATAAAAAAAATATATGATAGATTATATTTACATATATTAAAAATTTTATAACAATTCATAATCATTAAGATATATTATATTATTATTATTATTATTATTATTATTATTATTATTATTATTATTATTATTATTATTATTTACTTGTGCTGTTCGATCCCATCCATCCGAACAGTGTACAAGTACGGAAGTCTTATGATTTTCTACTTTATCCACAATTCTAACTGCACCAGCGAGAACACATTTAATATGTTTAAGCCACATTGTCGATTCTATACCAGATAACCATTTGCCTTCGTCGATTGTTGGAAAACATAATTCTATATAATAAGATTTAATTTTATTTAAAGTGACCTGGATCGTTGTATTAACATATACATAGAAAGAAAAAGAGAAAAAAAAAAAAAAAAAAAGAAAAAAGAAAAAATCATTTAAATATCACATTAGTAATACCTTTTAATTTTCTTAGGCTCTCTCTCATAACGTGAATATTATGAATATCAAGAAAAACAAGCTCAGCATTTTGATAAGCATCCTCACTTTCATAACCACCACCTTTCGCTTTATTCGCTATTGCATTAGGCATTGGTCGAGCATCCATTATAAATAGTTTATGGCTTTGTGCATTGGCATCCATTATCAACTGCACGTACCTCTCATCCTCTCGACTTCTTTTACCACCAACGCCGACTAACGGCTGTGCGCAACGCGTTATAGTTGCCTGACTTTCTGAATGAATCCACGAAAGTACTGGCAATCTTCCTCTACTTCTAAAAGCTGCCGATGCTTGTAAATCTTCATCTGTCGCAGCCGCAGGTACTGCCCAAACAGCGGGATAACTATCGGCTAATGTATAAGTGTCATTAATCTTTGATATCTTCCACATATCATTATTTACACCCTATAATTGAAATTTAATCATCTATAAATATTATTTCAAATTATAATAAAATATTAATGATTTCAAAACTGATTAGAATCCATTACCATTCGTTTTAATTCGGCAATGGGCTCATAAACGTTCCAACCATTCTCAGGAAATGTTTCGGAATATTCAAATGCGAATAATGGTAATTTATGCGACAACGGAAATGAATATTGTTGAAGTTTTTCAAAGACATCTCTTCTAGAATGATTTTCTTGCTTATGGGCAAATCGAAGATTTCTCATGTCTTTACAAAACACTTCTATACCATATGAATTTTCTCCTCTGCTTGATGCACCACCAACTTTTTCGATTCTACTGACAACACCCAAGGGCACTTCCACGACATAAGGCGTTTCACGGTCTACACTACGAAAGTGAAGTTTATAATTTGTAACACTAAGAATTCCTATAGCTGGACCCGAATAAGGACACAAATATGTCACTTCATGGGCTATCCCTTG